AAGAAGAACATAGACAAACCAAACTTGCACAGGCTAATCGAGTTGTATACTCACTCAGTCGCGGCGATGGGTCATGTCCGCCATTTTGGTGAACTCCTCTTTGAGTTTGCCTATCAGCCATTAAAGCGAGGCATTTCCCGTTCTAACAGAAGAAATCCCCATTTACAAGCAGTACAGCATGCACTTTCTGACGACTGGCAAGACCGTCTTGCGGCACTAACAGAAAAGATAGTGGAGAACCCCTTGTCACAGGAACATAAAAACGACTTCTATACATTCTTGACCGGTCAGAAAAGTACTCCATCGGAACATCTAGACACTACCTCATTCGAAAGCCAGCTGACAGAGGACTTACTAATCAAGCCGTTGTTGCGTAAGCTGGTAGGAAAAACATCGCGCGGTCCGCGTGGTGATGGGTCACATTCTAAGTGGGTTCTGAACGGTACAGAAAAGACATCGACGTCGCATACAGGTATGATGAAGTTGCTCAATCAGTCAGTTATTCTCCACTTCGATGGCGAGCGCAAAGTAACATTCTTCAAGAAGGCGCGCCGGTTTAAACAAAACATATTTAGGTCGAGCACATCCGGGCATTCATATCCTCACGATTGTATTCGTGTAGGAAACGCCATTCAATCGCTTGTGCGTCATGACATGACAGGAGACCTACTCGAGGAGCAGCCGAGTCTTCTTGAAATGGAGGGCAGTCCGGACAATTACATACTTGTTTTTTTTGCTGTCGAGGCATTTGTATCTTGGAAGGACCACCAGTCTGGTGCTGGAGAATATTGTATCGAGAGTTCTCCATTCGTTTTTGTGTGAAAATGCACATTACATGAGGATAGAACCTTACACGTTCCCCCCGGTACACCATTAACCTTACTAAGACTGACTGGAAATGTGAGAAGGGTTGGGCTGATACATGCGTGTTCTATGTCTTCACCAGAGACCCACTGTCACATCAGTGAAAATGTCGGCGTGATAACGCACGCAGCTGGACTTCTTTCAGGCGAAAGGTTCTATTATCTTACAAAGCGGCAAGGATACCCTCCACGAATGGGGTAAATTATGCATATCTCACAGCCGATAGAATTGTGGGAAACGGCCAGTCCGCTATCGAGAGAGTTAGCCATTTGTGTACGTTGATAAGTAAGTAAAGTAATGTGACCATGCCATTCATGTTTTTGGTTGCCATCAAAGGCGCCTTTCGTTCTTACGGAGGGGCGGTTGGGGGTGTTGTTTGGATGTGAAGGGGTGCCGCGGGGCCTGAGGGTAGACATTTGTGGGTGAGGAAAAGATGTGTGTTTGGATTGATGAGAGCAGGATGGCGGAGGGCAGTCAGATTCGACACAAACAGATGAGGTGAGCGTTTGCGACGTGCCTGGCTGGCCATTGACGTTTTTGCATTGGCATAACTTCAATCCTTTTCATTCTATGGTTCTCTTCACCATGTTCTGGGTTACTGTTCTTTGAAATTTCTCTATGATATGCTTACCCCGTACCACTAATGAAGGCCAGCTCATCTCTAAACAGCCCAGTGCCTCATCAGGATATGTCAACGTCTTAGAAAGCTGTTTTGTTTTTCCCGCGGATGTCCGATGCCACAGCAAATGAAATGCACGGTCTCCCAGATTTTCTGGTATCCTGTTCCCGTGATAGGCAACCTTGGAGATCTTCAAGGCGTCAGAAAGCATCATACTTTTTTTTCTAGTCTGTTAGCGTACGTTCTGTTTCGTCGATCGAAACACATGTTCTCCCGGAAAAGCAGCTCGCACATTTTGTCTGTGGCTGTGCAAACTTGACTTCTCGCAACTCGAAAAATGAACATGGATTTTTCTGAATCATTGTCAGCCAAAGTCCCCCCTAGCAGCCGAAAGGGGCTCTGGTCAGACACTTCCATGCGCCTCATTTTTCTTCCCCTCACCATGAAGTACTGTAGATCAGAGACACTTGTGAAACCGATGCATTTACCAAGACAGCCGAGAGAATCAAACAATATCGTTATTGTTTCTATGTCGGAGCGGGGAGACTGGGTTTCCTCGTAGGTTGGGTAAAATGTTGCCGTGGGAGTCCGCATTCTGACCACGCGGCATATTTGTTCCATTTCAGCAAGAGTGCAGTCCGTATCTGCCCGTAAAGCTCTTGTGAAGCACATACCAATATGTATTCCTTCCTGCGCGACGACATCCGTGACTGCAGTTCGAATTCTTGAAACTTGAATAGCTCTCTGGCAAGCATTTGCCATTCTTTGCCTTAGGAATCCAAAAGCCCGGTCAGAAATGACATCACTTTCGGTCTTATACCGCAGTAATCTGGAATAAATGCCGCTTTGAGCACTCAGAAGCCTTTGAATCTCATCCACTCTCAGTTCCAGAGATGCTACACGAGATGCAGTTCTGGTATGATCACATAGACTAGTAAAGCAGTTCCTCTTCGTGCAGGAGGCCTCGAGGGCGCTGTAATCATCGTCCGAACTCGAGATTCCATCATCACACTCGGAGAAGTCTCGTTTGTAATACCGCCATTGTTGCATACCCAGTAGCGTTCCGTCATCTTGCTTATGCTGCAATTTGTTTTTCATGAAGCGTGCGCTCACACCAGATTCACCCATGCCGTAGCCTGCATCATACTGCACGAGGGCAACGAACTCGCCTCTTCGCCTCCCAACTCCACTCACTTTCCCCCTCCACCAAACGTCCTTTTTGTTTTTCTGACCTTTCCTCCTTCCACTCTCCACAGTAACGTCAAGAATCCAGAGAACTTCAATGGAGTCCCCTTCCCTTAGCTTGCGCATTTCAGTTATTGATTATGACCGTGCGGAAACCCCCAAATCGCCCCGTCAGATTCTCCGCTGATAAGCAAGTGTAGAAGAAGCAACCAGTATCCGTGTAGATTTCCAAATGGAAGAAACAGAAGCAGATCTGTGTGTATTCCCTGATAGGTACCGAAGAGAAGGAAACTTGGATCGATGGAGAGGGATATGTGGTGGTGGCAGTGGCGAAATCAGAGATCTGGGAATCTTGGCTATCGACAGAAGCAGAAACACGGAAAGTAAAATGGGAGAAATATTCAGGTCAAAAAAATCAAAAATCCGAGCGTCCAAGCGCAACGGGCTGATAGAAAAAGCCCTTGGTCGGGATACAGGTAGAACGCATGGACTACCAATACGTGAGGTTTGGAGCTGATACCGTTTCAACAACATGCACAACCGGAAATTTGTGACATGCGGGCATGTGTACTACGTGTCACTACATCTACTCGGAGTGCACTGTACACGCCGCCGGGGGTGAGGGCAAAGGTCGATCTCCCACCCACCGTATGGCAAGTGCTCACTCGCACCGTCGTAGCACCACTTCCGTCCTCATCGCTTCCTTGTCTCAAGCATCATCGAATCCTTGCATGATGGACTTACTGGAAAGTCGGGCGAGTATTTCTCAGCTCTATCACACTATTCACTCGTTTTGCCTCCAATTTGCCATTCCGCCTCCCACTTTCATCTCTATCGCAATCGAAACCCGGTCTTTGCAGTCCTTGTGGCAACCTCCTCTCTCCCAAAGACTGCTCGCCATGAGCGCTGCTTTTATGCTGGCCATACCTCCTGTCCCCTCTCTTTAGCCGCCCCCACCATAGAAGGGCACCGCCACTTGGTCAAGCGTCCTCGTCCTAACTAATCCTAGAGCCGCATATGCCGGATTCAAGTCCTGACATTTTGGATTGCGCTCTCACCTTTTTTTGTACTCATTGCGAACCAAACTACTAGTTGCCCTTCGTCATGACACCGCAGCCACAATCAACGTCTTCGGCCTTTGTCATTCATGGACGTCGCATTCTGACAAACACGCGCTCCGTCGACCATTACACTTCAGTCGTAGTAACAAAACGATACAGTGACACAAAGGCCCCGGCAAGGGTTGTCGCCATCGGCAATGAGTGCGATATAGCTCAATTGTAGGTTGAAAGCGAGGACTTCTGGGAAGATTTAAAAGATCAAGTCGGCATGGATAATACAAAACATGCCTTCCTTCAACCCGGCTCTTTGCCGCAGCTCCAAGATTCAGTTCTCGTTATAGGCTCCGGGAATCAAATCAGCCGTGTCGAAAAGCAAAACTATGTGCATGGCCAAGGAGACCTGCTTGCAGTACATATTGACACGGCGGTAGGTCTATCCGTTTCCATAGTACTTGATTTTTCAATGAGTTATTGTTTTGGCTTTCTTACTAATGCCTTTCTATTTCCTTTGGGGGCCATTTTGGATGTTTGCCAATAACATGTTCCCGTCTTTTAATCCAGGAAACAGTCGCGCCCCGGTGATAAATGAAACCGTGAGGTTGTAGGTGCGTGTCCCAAATCTTTCGAACCGTTACCGTTGAAACGCAATGGATCGATTGCATCAAGTGTACATGATCATCCTGACTGACACGCGATGGGTTTTGTTCGGCTATTCAGGAATTGCTTTTCAAAGCGTGGACCCCTTTCAAGCTGATTCCGTGGGCTACCTCATTTCATACTGCGTACTGCAGCATTTTCTCGACCACATAGCCTGTCATGGTCAGTATGCGGGGTTCTCATTTTGCATATTTCGCTGGCAAAGAATGGAAAACCATCATTTGAGGAGATCTCTTGGAATGGCCAAGGATCAGTCTGGGATTTTAGTCAAGTAGGTTGCAGAGATTTGCGAAGCGAATCGGATGTTACGAAAGGGAGATATTATGACTCGTGTGGATGGAATCTTCGTCTCGAACGCTGGGACAGTACTATTTTGCTCTGGGGAACGCATCAGTTTGACTTTTGTGATCACCAGCAAATGGGAGCACTCGCACATCCGCGGCCTGAGGCTGAACGAGAACCTCAATGCGGCCCCCGAGCGGGCAGGGGTTGGTAGGGCAGGTGGAGGCGCGCAAGGCCGCAGCGTGGTCGTTCTCATCATCGAGCAGGGCAGGATCGCGGGCCGCGCCGTCCCCATCGCCGGCAAGCCCGGCACGGGGAAGACCGCCATCGCCATGGGTATGGCCCAGGCCCTCGCCTCAGAGACGCTCTTCACCAAGATCGCCGTCAGCGAGATCTTCTCGCTCAAGATGTCCAAGACCGAGGCCCTCACGCAGGCCCTGGGGAAGAGCATCGGCGTTAGAATTAAGGAGGAAACAGAGCATATCGAAGGCGAGGTTGTGGAGATTCAAATTGATATGCCGCTCCCGAGGTCGTCAGCTGCACGGATGGCGAAGAGTGGCAAGCTTACGTTGAAGACCACGGAGATGGAGAGGGTGTATGACTTGGGTACCAAGATGATTGACTCGTTGCGGAAGGAGACAGTTACAAGTTTTGATGCCATTACTATTGATATGGCAACGGGAAACATATCAAAGCTCGGGCGAGTTGCAGCGACGGAAAGAGGTTGTGCACGTCGTCTCTCTGCACTAAATTGATGTCATCAATTCACGGCAGTAAGGTTTGTTAGCATTATTCGCTGGTGACACTGGTGAGATTAAATCGGGGGTGAGGGAGCAGATCGACGTCAAGGTTGCAGAGGGGAGGGAAAAGGGGAAAGCGAAAATTGTGCAGGGCGTTCTTTTCATTGACGAGGTGCATATGCTTGATATTGACTGCTTTTCCTTCATGAACAGAGCTCTCGAGTCGGACCTCGCCCCAGTCCTTGTGGTGGCGTCGAACCGCGGAATCACTCGTATCAGGGGGACCACATACAAGTCGCCACATGGCATTCCACTGGACTTGTTGGATACGTTGCTTATTACTACCAAACCATTCAACGAGAACGAAATTCGAAAGATCTTGCAGCTACGCAGCGAAGACGTGGAGATCATGGAGAACGGACTAAACTTTCTCACGCGTATAGATCTGGATACCTCTCTGAGATACGCCATGTATCTAATCACCTCTTCAGGACAGAAAGAGGAATAGGTAGACGTAGAGGACATCAAGAGAAAGTACACCTTGTTCTGGGAGAGAGGCACTGGAGAGGGTGTGCTGCTGGGGCAGGTCCACGGCCTGGGAGACGGAGGTGAGACAATGTGGAAGGTGTTGCTGAGGCTGTTGGAGGGGAGCTGCCAGAAAATATCGCGGAAGGAGGGGTCTGGGCAGTAGGTAGACGGAAGCGGCAACGACGAGCTGGGCGATCTTCTGGGCTGGGCGGAAATCTCGGATGGACGGGACTACAGGTGTGTTTTGCGGTAAAGTTGTCGCCGACGCCTAGGACCGTTCCGTCACGGAGGACGCGGCGGGAGTTAGAGTTGTACTGGACATGCCTTTGGCGGCCGTCGGCATTTGAGGAGGGGTGGGCGTCGGAGGGGGAGAAAAGGGCGTTTCGGGGGGCCACGCAGAGGATGGAATTCAGAGAGAAGCGGGAGGGGGAGAGGGTTGCGAGGATGTCGGCGAAGAGGATGCCGTCGGTCTGGAAGTGCATGAGCTTGTCGACTGCAGTCGACGCGATGAGGGAGGGGAAGGCGGATGTGAGCGTGATAATGAGAAGTGGGACTCCGTGTGGATGCGGGCGGCATCGCGACGGTCGTGGGGGAGGGCGGCAGCCTCGCGGACTGTGTTTGTTGAAAGGGGGTCATCGGAATGGGGAAGGGGCGAGGTGGTGATTTAGAGGGTCTCGGGCGCGGTTTGAGGCATTCGCCGAGTGGTTGGAGGGTCTGGATGAACTGCCCGGAGGGCAGCTTCGTTGAGGGTGGTGGCGGGGGTCAGGTTGTGCAGAGGGGAGGGGCGGGATGAACGCGTACGCAAGACGGGTGTGGGCCGGAGATGGGTCCTGCTGGGAGCAAGGTATCTGCGGTAGGCAGGGCCTCTTCGTAATGTTTCTGGCGAGGCTGGGTGAGGCACGGGATACAATGATCGTTGAAATGGGTTGTGAGAAATGGTGGGGTATTGGGACTGGATGAGTTGTTTACGAGCCCCAGAACAATTTATGGTAATGTGGTCATTCAGTAAAATTAGTCACACTCACGGCTACTAAAGTCGCCGAAAACTCCGCAATATCAAATGAATGAAACAGCACCACGACCTCACTGAAAAGGTACGACACTAAAAACTGAAGCAATAAAGTAATCAATCTGAATCATGAGCACTAAGTGCCCTGGATGTCCATTCAGACTGCCTGGCTACGTTTAAGAATTAACAATGCACATTGTTTGGATGACAACTTTGCCATTTCGCATCATTATTGGGTCTTAATGGTATAATGGACAGCTTCAGTTCACTCAAATGTTCTCTGGTGCCATACAATCTGTGACACAGTGCGCTCCAAGCGTCAACGCAGTGCATCATGAAATCGATGACCAGACATTTCATAAGATAGGCTGGCTACGTGACATTTCGCATCACATCACAGAACATTAAATTGAACGTCTGATGCGAGAAATTTGCGTTTTTAAAAATATATATCTTACTCTGCTGCAATGACAAAAAGAGTGAGAAAATACTACTCTTATTGAGAATCCCCAAAATTTTAGGATTGATTTTGAAATCATTCCGACCACTATGATAATCGCCAGCATTACTGAATCATTGTTCCAAAGTCAGCATCATAGGCGATGCATAATATTATATTAGTAACAAAATTGACTATATGACTTACCAGTGCAAGAAAGGAACGAAAGCGCAGCGTTCGTCGCGAATCAGCAGTGCGGCAGTCAGAAACAAGGCTCGGACGTATCAAAGTCAACGATACTATTCCAAGGATGACATCGTCGAAGCTGTGGCGTTCCGTGACCTCAACCTTACCGCAAATAATCTTCTGCATCCCGAGAAGAGCAGTACTCGCATAATCGTATCTCCTCTTCGTAAAAAAGACAAGAAGATCTCGGAACAAGACAAGAAGATCTCGGAACAAAACAAGAAGATCTCGGACCAAGACAAGAAGATCTCGGACCAAGACAAGAAGATCTCGGACCAAGACAAGAAGACCTCGGAACAAGACAAGAAGACCTCGGAACAAGACAAGAAGATCTCGGAACAAGACAAGAAGATATCGGAACTCACCAGGGAACTGAGCAGAGCGCGCAGTCAAAAACAACAATTGACGAACAGGAACAAGCCCCTGCAAGAACGTGCGGTGCGGACAGATCATACAGACGCTGTGAGCCCGCAGTCACGTGCAGGTGCTGGGAGCCCACGGTCACGAGCAGGTAGTTGCCCGAAACGCGGTAGAGAGGAAAACGGTAGGAATGATTCGCCCGGCAACAGCCCGACCACGAAAAGGGGCGGAAGAGGAAGGAGGAAGCACAGTAGTCATAACGCATGACACGTGTGAAAACGTTGTCTCTCTTAAGTAGGGGGTCCCTTGCCGCGTGGCCAGAACGGCGGAGTATAACTTATTATATACAGTGCCTCCTACGATATAGTGCTATAGCGTGACATACCTCTAGCTATGGCACTATTAGGGGGATGGCACTATATAAAGGAGGCTCAAATACATATATTTGGGGACAAAGCACACTGCTAACACAAACACAACAAAGCCTGTATAACACAACTAAATAACTTCATCCTTTGAGTACTGAACCATGCGGCATGAGCTTATTCTGGTACGAGCACGTGAAGGTTAAAGACATCACGGGCAAGCGCTGGTTTGGTAGGCAGCAGAATAGCACATCACTTTGCTACATCGACGTATCAAAAAAACATTTCCGTTACAACTATGGTACTCCAGCAAAAATTCGGGTCCAGTCACTGGCCGGAACCAGAAACGCCCCTCATCCCCGTGCTGAATGGGAACGGCCAAAAAAGCTGGCAAAATATGGCTGCCCGCGAACCAATTACCCACGGGCCACCGTTCATTGCCGTCAAAAATCCAGCATTTTTTGCCCCCAAAAATAGCAACATCATTGCTTTTATTAAATTTTTCATAAATCTGACCTCCCTGTGGATTTCTTCTTTGACATGTCAATTGACATGTCAAAGAAGAAATCTAGGCGGAGGTAGCTTCTTGATCTTCATTTTACCTTCGTAAAGTCTGCACTAGTTACCTACCTGTATTACTCGATAAACAGCGCTGCTTCAACTTCCTTTTTCTTCAATACATTTATCGTGAACTGCTTCAACACGTCTCGGAACTTAAACAGTTTTGGTAACTCATTCTCCTTCCTATAACGGCAAGATATCGCGTAGTTTTTCTTCACCATTCGCGGTTCAGAAATGGAGGTGAATGCCTTCTCGTAATCCACAACAGAATTTGACTCGCAGTAGTGGAAGAATGCCATAGACATCGTCTTGCGCTTCGCATATAGTGCTTTGTTTGAAACGGCCTTCCCATCTCTTAACATTTTTCCGTTCCTTTCTTCCACTGACCAGTACATTAACCCTTTCTCAAGTGCAGCTGCTTCATCAGGCAATATCCACCACCTTAAGATATACCGGATACTTTCGGTAGATCGCGGTATTTCCACGCGTGGCAAATCTCCAATAACACGTTTGGGGGGTGGAATGAAATGTAACTGTGCCTTTCTTTTCGGGTTGATTGTCTTACCAGGTGTGATGACAGAAGACTTTCCAACCCTTCCCTTTCAACGCCTTTAACAACGACCTTGAACCGAGAACGCTTTTCTAGAGTACCGGGGACGGCGTTATTTGTGATGCTGTAGTTCTTGTTGATGACTTGAAACGCAAAAGAAGAGCTTGAGATGGTATTTGATAAAGCCGCGGTATCTTCACCTGTAGCTAGCCGACCTGGGTTGTTAAGGAGAGGCGGAAGCGCCTGTCCTGTGAGTGGATGTGTTCCCTGTAGCAGGTATAAGGGCTTATTGGGGTCGAGGGAAGACTCCATTGAGTTCAGAGATGCCTCAAACTCGTTCAATGTCGTACTAACGCGAGGCGTATGGATAGGATTACGTCTTCTGTGTGGCTCAAAACTCAGAAAAGAAGTTGGACGGGATTCAATTGGGCACAATTGCTGGGTCTGCTTCTACTATCTCCTCAGCTTCTCCAACACTTCTGGTTGCAGCGCCGAAAGACCTTATGATTTCCTTAACAACTATGCTGCGTTGCACTTCACAAGCTGTCTGTGCCTTTATCGCGATCCGGACCTGCGCATTTCCCACTACAGCTTCTTTTGACGTTCTTCTCATTTCTTGGTACCTGTCAGGTGGCAGTCCCACAATATCTGGAACGGAAATAAAAACAAAAGAGACCAAAGGTCATGTATTAGGTGACCCTTGGACTCTTACGTAATACGTTGGATCAGGATATGAGTATTTGATTTGCGGATGACATGACGCTCAAACGGCATTATATTCATTTTTGCAGTAATTCTGTAACCAGAAAAATCCTCAGACCAACTAGAGTCGCAAGTATGGCAAAGTTAACTTGGACCTGAAGATACCCTCACCCGGGGTCCCAAGTCAAAGCAACCTGACCCAGAATCCTATCACGGGTCAAAACATTCCGACCCCGGATCCTATCCAGGGTCAGA